CCCCAAAACCCCAAAACCCCAAAACCCCAAAACCCCAAAACCCCTCAACAACCCAACAAATTGCAAACAAATTAAAAATTATTTATGGCTGACCTAAACCTTAACGATTCCAATCTCGATTCACAAGAAAACCAAGAAATTCTTTGAGCAAACCCGAATAAAGAGTCTCTTCATAATCGAGAGGCTTCCAGTACAGTGTAATAAAAAGCTTTTGAATCTGTATCTCTCTTGTATTTTAATGATTAAACCCTACTTTAACTGATAATATAGTATCGAGGAAATATTCGATCAAGCTACAAAGCAAAATGAGTCCCTGCTAAACTCACGAGCTCTACCTCCTAGGCCAAAGAAGAAGGGTAAGAAGAGCAACATTCACAAACGGTAAGTTCACCCAATAAAATCAAAGCTCATAATTTGTAGGAAAGAATCTCGAAACACAGCAATGTCAACACTAGTATCAACTTCCTTCACATCAATGAAGAGTAAATACAAACCTATATCAATCAGAAGGAGCTATGCTACAAATGACTCCGACTTAACTTTTAAGCCAAAGCTAGGGAAGATCACAAAATGATTAACAGCAAGAAGAAGTCGCTCTCAAGGAGTCCACGATAAACTTTATAAAGAAGCATTACAGTCCAAATTTGATAGAGTAATGATCCCTCTGTATGACACTGAAAGATATCTCAACGACACTTTTCAGCCAAGTATTAAGAAGTCAAATGATCCCAACTATTATGAACCCAAATCAAAGTTGAAAGGTAAATTTTATGATAGATGTGTCTCCTGGAAGAAAAGACATGATAAATGGATCAAATAAAGCCCAAAAAGTCCAGAAAAGAAAACTCAGAGAGGAAATAAAGAGAAGCCATGTAGAGACAATGCGCTACTCTCTTCGAAGTAACACCGCACGTTCACCCGGTACCTGCCTCCAATACTCAGGTGTCACAAGCCACCTTGAGCGACAGCACAAAGCTCAAGAAGAGAAAGCTCTAATCACAAAACTAAAAAGCAGCGGTATCCACAGAAACCACAAGAGTCCTCCAAAGACAAGAGTGACCATCCCTTCCAGGACCCTCTTCAGACTCCACCTCAGTTCAGCTATGAGTACAATCAATGCTTATCGAACCTGTGAAGACGGGCAACGGCTGACTTCAAAAGATCTAGCATCGAAAGGCTTCACTATCCCAGAGATAATCCAGACAGCAAGTGACCTAGAGAATAGCTCCAGAGAGCGGATCAAGCAGCAGTTCACTGGGGAAGACCAAGTGCTTAGGGATATAAGCAAGGAAGATGATTACTTAAGCGCAGTGCAGACTTTGCATAAGTATCTGCATTCATTTGATATGTATTAAGTTTTTACAGTCCTGCTTTTCCTTGAGATTAACAATTCCTGATTTGGTAACACTTATCGTTCAAAATTTCTCATTCAAAAATAATTTTATGAGTTTTCTAATCATTCTTTACATATTAAATCATGGAAGACATAATTTCAAAGGTCCTTTATTAAAATTCTTTGCTTCCTTAAACCCAACTACATTCAAACTCATCGCTTAAAATTCAATAAATACCATTCTAAAAGGGGTTTTGGGGTTTTGGGGTTTTGGGGTTTTGGGG